TATATATATATATATATAGAGTCAGCAGCACTGCACTTAATTTCCATCATATATATATGTAGTGTTTACATAATTGTTTGACAAGTAAAAGAATTGCAACTTTATCAGTTGGAATAGTCTCTGCAACGGGCTGTGACCGAATTAACTTTGTTATCTGTAGGAAGATTAGTCTCCAGACAACTTGTAGAAAGAAAAACGATGTATATATAAAAAGTCAAAACGTTGATTTTCATGCAAAACATTTTTAAGTCAAATATTTTATGGTGCCGTATTAGTGTGACAACGTAGTTTAATTAATATTATTCTCTATTTCTGGTGAAGGCAGAATTTGATCAATTCAAAGATATAAACAATCTATGCATATATAATGAATGAGTATCTGATTGTAACTGAATTATAAACTATGTCCGAGATCGCCTTCTCTTTGATTGAGTAAAATGATTAAAGAATGACGACATCTTGGAGTATCATTTTGTCGTAAGTGTTTGGTTTTGCACAAACTCTTTGCAATTTGTTGATACATGATGCATAGTGGGATTTGTCATATGTTCATATCACCACGTCCAAGGCATAACGCTACAACACTCGTGTTATCTTTGCTTTCTGTCTCATGAAAGTTGTCACGCACCGATACCATTGCTCTTATTAGTTGGGGTATCTACAAATGTCCTAAATAACTTAATTATCGCATAAAATATTTTAATAATTTCTTCTCCATAGTGTGCTATTGCACAATAATTTTTGCATTGAAATTAAGCCCATTAAGATTGCGTAAATAATATCTTAATTTATGCACATTAAGCCCAACTATTGGGTGGCAAAGCATGCTAACTGCTAAGACTTGTCTCCTGGGGATCCCACACGCAGTATAAGCACATTTTTGGCTGGTGTTTTCCTTTCCCACATATGCCAAAACTGTTAGTGTATGTACTAAAGATGTGTTTCAAACAAAACATTTTAATTTATTAGATTATCTTAATTAGAATTAATGTAATAAAGTTTGTAGGATAGTAAATTTTGACCCCATAGGACATTAATATAACTTTATCAAAAGATCCTATTAAATACTAAACATAATAATACATTGATATTGTGAATATCCAAATTTATTTTATCATTCTTTTCTTTTCTTTTAATTCATTTTATTATTATTTTTTTTTCTCTCTTTGTTACCAGTCTGGGCCAACATAGGTCCAGTAGTATGCATTTTTTTGTTTGTTTGTTTCCACACTCTTTCTATTCATTATTTTGGTTTATTATGCTTAATGGGTTTCAGGCTCGAGGGCTGGATTAGTTTCCTGACTTTCCTCTGTTTGCTGAAGTTTCATGATATATACAATTTTTTTATAAGTACATCTTTTTTATTTTTTAAAATATTTATAATTATTTTTTTATTTTTAATTTTATCCCTCTAATTATCAATTTATTACTTTTTTTTTTCTTTTCCACATGCCTTCTTCTTTTTCTCTTTCACTTTTCACATACACATTTTTGTCTTTCTCCAATTTCCCACCTATTTCAATAGATAATTTTAGTTTTTTTGGTTTTTACATTACTTTCTTCTCCCCTCACCTTTTTCGCTTTTTCATATGCATTCAAATCATAGAATTAGTATGCGACAATATTGTAGGTACGTATGACTTTTCTTGATAGTTTCTATCAAACTACACGCTGATTTTTTTCTTCTAACACTTTCTCTCCTTTCACACTTTTAAAAACCTTAACATCAAATTTAGTATTATGAAAAAAAATATTTTAGAACACTAATTTTACTATTCTAGAGTTCTTTTGGAGATAATGAAATTAGTGTTCTGAAAAAGAACTTTTCAGAATTGTGTTTTTTACATACTTTTAGAAAATACTTTTTGAAATATATAATAAATTTAGTGATCTGAAAAGTACTTTATAGAAGTATGTAAAATAATACATTTTCATAAGGTACTTTTTGGAACTCTAAATTTACTATTTAAGAAAAAACCTATTCGAAATTATGTAAAGTAACACACTTCCAAAAAGTACTTTTCGAAATAACAAAATTAATGTTCTGAAAAGTACTTTCTATAAATATCTTAAAAATCAAATTTCAACAAACCCTTTTAGTAACACTAATTTTACTATTTTGGAAAGTACTTTCTAGAACACTAAAATTATTTGATGTTGTGTTTTCTAGATGTATAAATGGGTAAAGTACTCGAAGAAAAAATGCACATTAATTTGGCTCAACACTTTTAACACTGTCTCGAGAAAGTCATGCACACTTATAATGTTGTGGAAAACTAATTTTACGTGCTAGCTGTGTGTGAAAACTAAAAGAGAGGAGGGAAAATATAATAGTGAGAAAATTGAAAGAGGAAGAAGGAAACGAGTAATGTAAAACTGAAAACATTAAAATTACTTATTGAAATAGATGGGGTAAAAGAAAGGTAAAGAGATACATGTGAAAACTAAAAATAGAAGGAAAAGAGGCGTATGAAAAAGAAGAAAAGAGTGTTAAATTAAATGTTGGAGGTATAAAATTAAAAAATTATAAATTATAAAATTTAAGGATATTTTAAGAATTTAAATATTTTATTTTAAAAAAAGGTATACTTAAAAAAAAAAAAAAAAAAAAAGGAGGAGGAGGATGTATATCATGAGCCTTTGATGAATTGGGGAAGGGTCCAATCTGATTCTTGATTCATGTCTTTTGTCTTTCATTAGCGTGGGATTAGCCCACTTGTTTGCTGAGTTTTATTTTTGTTTACTGTTAAAAAGATTGGGCTTAGCCTATTCGGCTTGATTTTGTTTCCTTCTATTTTTTGTCTCATTTTTGACATCGTTGGGCCAAATTCATATTTCATATTTGATATATATTTTCTTTATGCCAAAATTAATAAAACAAAATAAGCTAAATTCCAAAAGTTTTTTTTTTTTAAAAAAAAAGTTTATTTATTTATTTTAAATTCGAACCGGACTTATCACAGAAAAATAGAAAAAGATCAATCAATAACAATAAAATATAAAATAATATTGAATATATTCAACTTATCCTATACCAAATAAAGTTCTACTCATTATGTAAAGTTAAGACAAAGATAAATATATATTTGGCCGGCAATAATAAATGGATGTTGGAGATAGATAGGAGATTAGAGAAGTAATCAATCTAAATGGTTATTTATTTTTTACTTAAATATATCTTTAAATCTTTAAATTTAAAATAAATTTATTTTTTAAATTTAAAATAAGTTTTTTTAATTTTTATAATATCAAAAAATATTATTTTAGTTTATATATTCAAATTTTGTTAAAAATATGTTAAATATTGTCACATAAATGTACTTATTGATGATCTTATTTGTAAAAATTAATCTCGTATTAAGCGCAGTTAATTTTCAAATAATTATATCAATTTATCACTTTTAAATATGTTACTGACAATTTAATGAATTAAAACAAAATTTTTAAAAATTATACGGACTAAAATAATCATTTTAAATTTAAAAAAAAATTACCTTAGTTTTAAGAGACTAAAAATACATTTAATTCTTTATTTTTTCTTCATAAAGTCAGAATATTTAGGTCTTGATTTATGTGCTGGCAATGGTTTTCTATACTTGATTTCAGTTGTTGAAAAGTGTTATGAGAATGTTGGAATTAAATTAAAAATATGGTCTAATTCCAGTTGGAAGAGTGAAAGGTCAATTCCAAGTTGGTAAGGTGGCCAAGTATGTTTTCTTTTCCCACTTGGATATGATTCCATGTTTGTCTTATGCCTTCTTTTCTTTGTGAACCGGCGATTGGATTCCCATTTATGTCTTATGTCTTACTAAAACCATAAATTAACCAAACTACATTCTAGAACCACATGCTTATTCCATGTTTGGGGGAGGGGTGTGTCATTATTTTATGGTTTAACACCTACATTTTAGTAATAACAATTCATTTCAAATATTAAATATTTTAGGAAGGATGTCATTGAATGAATGAAGTAAAACAATGTGAATTATATTCATATTTGAGAATACAAAATGTTTGATTTTTTTTTAAATTTTTTTTCTTATGAATAAGAACAGAGAAAGTATTAATCTTTTCTATGAAGTAAATTATTAAACACTATTTTTTTTTCATGATAGGAAAGAATATATACCGTTATAGTATGTTTGATGTTTTAGTAAAATAATTGTGTCCCATTTTAATCGTTATTTTACGATGTTAATCAAATATTTAATATTATTTCTTATAATCTTAACCATTTATTATAGAGTGAGAAAATAGGAACATATTTAAATAAGAGAAAACCTAATTAATATGAAAATAAGAAATATATTTAAAAATCGTATAATAAATTTTATAAAATCTAATTTATCAATTATATTTCTTAATATTTGTGTAAACTTTTAAACATCAAACGAAACAAAGGCAGTAATTATGTGGGATTTTTATACTAAGACAGTGCTAGCAACATTTTTTTTTTAAAAATATTTTATTTTTTTTTATCAATTAAATTTTATTAAAAATCACAAATTTTATGAGAATCTCATCTCGCTATTTATTTAATAATATTCGATCATAAAGATTTTGTCAAATTTTAGCTAATGGTAGAAAATGTATTAAAGGGAGTGTAATAGATTAAAAAAATAATCACATGGTCTGAAATCGTGTAATTCTAGTCAATTTTTTTTCATGATATATGTAATCACCTTATTTAATTTGTAAAAAAGTGTTAACAGAAGATTGATTATGGTCATATAATTTTAGATTATATGATAAATTCTCCTCTTTATATAAATGGTGAATAAGATTATCAAAGTTCAAATTTTAGTTTACTAATAAAGAAAAAATATTTGTTATTAAGTGAAAGATTGTATATGTTGATAAAATAATATGATACATAAATCTTTTATTCTTATTAAAAAAAATTCAAAATTGATTTAAGTTCTCACTTACACTCCTTATCAATTGAGTTGGAATGGTGAAGTATGAAGGCTTATATTATGAATACTTTGCAGAATTATAACCAATCAAAAGAATATTTATGTAGTAGCACTTATTGAGACATAGTTCAACTTATTTGTAGCTCTCAAATGAAAATACTAAGCAGAAACAATTCCAATTCCTGAACTCCAAAATTTGGAAAATTTGGAAAAACAACAACATAACATAAACCTATGAACACCATGTCCATCTCAATGTTGATTATTACATTAATCGGAACCCAACACATAAGAATGAAGCCATATTCCCTCCATCTTCTAATATAATAACACAATAATAGTATAATTATAATTGGTTGCCTCAATTCACAGCATCTCTGCAAAGGAAGAGTGGATTTGAAGGGACCAAAATTACAGGGGAGAAGGTGCAGGTGCTGCCACAATGTCCTCTGACACATCAGAAACAGGGCCAGGGGCAGCTCCAGAACTCACAAGCTCAATCATGGCACGACGAGGGTTAGTCTTGTGCTTCTCACACAGTTCTGGCAAAAACACCCCTGCAAATGCAATCACATACCCTTAGTTTTTGTCTATGCTAATTAATTATTGTAACAAGAAAAATAAAATATGTGAAAACTCATCATATCAATAACAATCACACACAGAGTAATAAGAATGAGATTAATTTTTATTCATTGGGAGATACTCTTGGCAATACCAAAAATATGAAAAATACAAATCTTGTGTCACAACTTCATTTTTTAAAATTATTTCTTTGTTTTGGTGAAGGATGAGAACAATTATATACCTTGATTAGATTTGAAGTTAAAATGTTATAGGGTATTTGGTATCCTTAGGCTTTCATAGTGAATGGTGAAAGCATGAGACAAAAGCAGAACAAGAATGAGTAAAGGTAATGCGCATAATTTTTTTTGTTGACATGTTCTTATAATAGTAGTTAAGAAAACAAGCAATAAGGCATGCATTGACACGCAGAAACCTATGATTTATTCTAGTTAGTTAAACTTCCATCATAGGAAAAGTTATTCAGAGGAGACATCACTGTTCCTTTTTCTTTCTCTTTATGCTGAATAAATGGATGCTACCTAATGACCACGACTTCCAATTTTATTCATATATATAGGTCAATTCTGCAACCAAAGTTAAAAAATAATCGACTACCAAACATGTTCATTATAACCACGCATGAAAAGTTTTGGAAATTGGAATTATTAGAAAAAGACTTCTATGTTTTGTATAATTATTTTACATCACTTTTTTCTACACCTTCCTTTACCCTAGTTGAAACCAAGTCTCTTTTACTTTTTCTATATGTAAGCTGGTTTGATTAATTTGACATTTTCCAAGGGTTATAAAGAAAAGTGAGGTGAAGTAATCACTTCATATAGCGTTTGTGTTGATAAGTAATTTTAAAGTAAGCTGAATTGAAACAAGAGTGGTTAAGCAGTGTTGTAACTTCTTGGTACTGTTTTCGATTTCTACCGATAAAAAAGTATGTTAGGATTGAACAAAAACATGTGATGACATTAACAATGAATGATTCAATTCTTACCCTCTCCTGCAGCCAAGTTGAAGAAAAGGTCAACAATGTTGGGGCACTTCTGGTAACATGATGGAGAGCAAAGTTTGCCAGTGAATTGAGGCTCAAAGAAGGCATCAGAAGAAATCCCAACAGAGTTTCTATCAACACCACATGCCTCCACACATTGGTCTGTCTCTATGTACTCAGCCATTCTCTCCACCACCACTTCCGACGTCCGGCATTGGTACTCCACGCCGCCGTCCGCCGCCTTCTCCGTCTCCAACAAACATCTCTTCCCTGAAGAAGCTACTGAGAAAGCACACACTTCCTTTGGCAAGTCCTCACACACCATCTCACCTATTGATCGTTCATAAATTTCACACAAGCCATGAGTAATCAACAACAACAACAAAAGTCTTATTTCATTATGTCATATTCTTAATAATATGAAATTGAGTTTAACTTAACTTTATAAAATTAACTTGTAATATAAGAATTAATCTTTATTTATATCATATAATTTGACATTATCATTAATCGATGTAGTATATATAATATATATAGACTATTTAAATCATGTGCAACTTATTCTATACTCTATTTTAATTTTATCATTAGTCGATGGATATTAATTACATAGTTCACATGTAATGAGAAAACTTATGTTTATAAAATAAAGAATTGAACAAGACATGGAAAACGGCATGATGAACTCACCCAAAGATGCATGGATGAAGAGGGATGAAAGTAAAAGGACCAAAGGCAATTTGGTAGAGAAAGACATGGTTGTAGTTTGTTTGAAATGGAGATATTGTTGTTTTGTGAAAGAGGGAGCAAAGTGTGTGTTGTGTTGTGTATGTAATGAGAAGAAATGGGCACAATGATTTTGGGAAGGGACTAAAGGGGTATATATATTGGTGGAAAGTGGTAAAACTGCGCGTCCCTAATGGACTTGTGGACGCGTTTGGAAGCTTCACACGTTGGCCAAGTCTTAAACCATTCTTAAATTGTTTTCCTTTTTCATTAAATAAAAAATTAAACCTATAATTAAAAAATTGGGTCCATTTTCTTGCGCTTGAATGTTGAGTTGTTTCCCCCTTTTCGTCGTTGATTCGGGTGCGTGATTATTGACGACTACCTAAGACGTGTTTGGATGTCCGAACTTGGAAAACTTTGAAGTTTCCAACAAATTAAGGCATAGAAGTCAAACCCATTTTGTTTATTTTCCCATTCATTCATTTACCGTAATCTTGTCCACTTCAGTGAATCGGAAGCATCTTTTCTTCCAAAAAATTTCGGAGAAGAAACCAAAGACAAATTTGTCATTAGTGGGGTATCGTGTGCCTATCAAAATTCAGTTTGCATTTATTTTTGGCAAGGTTGGAAAGTTACCATGGATACAACTGAAATATGTGGGAACATAAAATCAACGAGATGAATTTTAAGTTTTAACCCAAAAGTTATAATGATTAATGAGATAGTGATGCCTAACAAATTAAATCGATGCAGCGTATTCTTTTGTTTCAGGGACTGAAGAAAAATTAAGCTAATAATTTGCCAAAGTATGTGCAATTAGTCATAACTCAAAAGCTAATCTATCGGTGAAAAGAAAATACAATTAAAGTTTCATTTAATTGATATGACTTAAAAAAAGATGTGGACTCGTGTAGCATGTGTTATGCGTACATGTGTCATAGTTGTAGTATCTAATAGTGTAATTGACAAATATGTAATTTTAGTAATAGGGAGAATCAATTAGTAGGCAATAATCAAGTTTCCTTTCCTCAATGAATAATGGACGAAAACCGTACAAAACTGAAATTGACTGCCAAACTGTCTCTTACTCGTGTATTTTTACTACATATCTTTTGCGAGTATAGAATGTTCACTTTGGCGATAGAATTCTATATATATATAT